TTTCCTGCTGGACATGAACGTGCAATGATGTTGCCCCAGAAGTTGCCAAAAGTCATATCAAAACCACAGGAGAGAGACACTCAACAACATTAGTGTGTTGGCGAATGAGACCAACACACACTGGGGAGCAGAGCCAAAGGACAGAGGGGATACATGTCCTGATTATGTTTCACAAGTTCCTGTCTCAGTCACACCTGTAGCCAGCCTTAATCTGGAACTTTTGTATTGTGTGAGCCTATCAATCCACTTTTTGCTTACAATGAAAATATTCTTGCATACAGTGAAAATATTCTTAACTGATACAAATTGTTTGTATGCATTCACATATTGATTTTTAACTTTTAGATTGAACAGAATGTATTACGGCAAAAGAAGAGACTATCAATGTTTTCATTTTATTTTATTTATTTTTATAAGACGCAGTATCATCAAGCAATATCAGTGTTTTTAACTTTGACAATATCAACATAAAAGTACAGATGCTAGAAACAGAGGTGAAAGGTAAAAGGAAAAGTAAACAAAGAACAAGAACATCAATACCTTAAAAACTTGGGGTCAAGAAACAGCCCATAGGCAACGAAACAAGAAATAAAAGTGTAAGTTCGGATTTAAAGTTACAGAAGTAGTAAATAAAGGAACCCCAAACAATGTTATAAGCAAATTGGGAAGACGAGGAAGGAGAGTAAAAGATATGTACCCTAGGACCTTTGAGAAAATGGAGTTCAGTTCTAAAACCACTAAAGCAAAGCAAAACAAAACAAAATTTATTTGACCTCCAATCGTGAAGAAAAAAACAATTTTTTCGAGTACCAAGTAAAAGGGAAAAAATTAAAGGGAAGGAAAACAGATTTAAATGGTAAGGTCCAGATGGAGGAAACTAGAGGAGAAATTGGAATGAGACTGAGAAATGGTATTCATCTGTATGCTGCTGTTATAAGCGTTTGGTACTCGCTTTGAGGCTACTCTAGGATGGCTGGCATTTCTTTTTCCTTTTGGATGATTGATGTGCAACCGATGCTTGTGAGTCAGATCATCTGGATGTGCACACTTGGTAGCCAGCCCAAGGATGCTTCAGCTGAAGTTAAAAGAGAAAATGAATTGGAGACTTATAAATTGGGGGAATAAAACTAATGAAAATGTGGCTTGGTGTGAGTGTTGTTTACATCAGTGTTGGTGAGAAAATAGAAAAATTATCAGCCGAGAGGAGGGATATTTAATAGTATCTCACATTAGAGAAAAGTAACAACCACCTTGATAAAGGTAGTGGTAACTTGGAGCATGATATGATATAGATACACGATATGATGTACTCATGACTCCTTCATGAAAGGGAGAGTGGGGGAGAAACAAAAAGAAAATGCATGCTAGGTCATCAAAGTGACCTGAGAAAACTCTGATATTGATCTGCCTTCTCCTGGTTGATGAGTGGCACCAGCCTAGGTCCCAAATTTTGACTCTTAATATTTTTCTCTTGGAAAAACTAAGATTCTTGGGAAAAAAACTGATTCCACCTTTTGAAGTAGAAAACATTTCATACTGAGCCTGGAATATCCTGTCATTCAAGAAAGCAGAGTTGTGAGTGGCCAAAGAGTGACCACATAAACTCCAGAGAGGGAAAAAATGACCACAGTGAATCAGAACTAACTGAGTATATTGAAAGAACTGTGAGTCCACAGGCATCCTAAATAGTTAGAAGGAAGACTTCACAAAGGGAACTAAAAGGTAGTGATGGCTTGGCGCAGTGGCACACTCTTGTAGTCCCAGCTTCTTGGAAGGCTGAGACAGGAGGATCACTTGAGCCCGGAAAGTGATCATGCCACTGCACTCCAGCCTGAGCAACACAGTGAGACTCTGCCTCAGAAGATGAAAATACAGGTAAAAAGAACAAGAAAAAGTAGTGATAATGTGCACACTCGCTTGCAAAATTATTAAAGTTTTGTATTGATCAGCCCAAACTATGTGAGTCATACACTGGTATTTTGGTCATACTCCAGAAAATAAAATTTAGGAGTAGGTTTAGAGAGAAAAAAATCTTAGAAAGGCACATATCAAACATGGAAAGTTTTTTGTTGTTTGTTTGTTTGTTTGTTTTTTTAAACGGAGTCTCACGTCTGTTGCCAGGCTGGAGTGCAGTGGCACGATCTCAGCTCACTGCAACCTCTGACTCCCTGGTTCAAGCAATTCTCCTGCCTCAGCCTCCCGAGTAGCTGGGATTACAGGCACCTGCCACCATGCCCAGCTATTTTTTGTATTTTTAGTAGAGACAGGGTTTCATTATGTTGGCCGGGATGGTCTCGATCTCTTGACCTCGTGATCTGCCCGCCTCGGCCTCCCAAAGTGTTGGGATTACAGGCGTGAGCCACCATGCCTGTCATTTTATTTTATTTTGTTTGAGACAGAGTCTCGCTCTGTCACCCAGGCTGAAGTGCAGTGGCGTCATCTCGGCTCACTGCAAGCTCTACCTCCACCTCCCAGGTTCAAGTGATTCTCTTGCCTCAGCATCCCAAGTAGCTGGGACTACAGGCTCACGCCAGCACAACCGGCTAATTTTTTGTGTTTTTATAGAGATGGGGCTTCACCATGTTGGCCAGGCTGGTCTCGAACTCCTGACCTCACCCCTGAGGTCTGCCTGCCTTGGCCTCTCAAAGTGCTGGGATTACAGGCATGAGCCAACGCGCCTGGCCAAAAATATTTTTTTAACTAAGAGTGTACTTGTAGAAGGCGGGGGTATACTTGTAGAAAGTGAGGGTAATTTTATGGGTAAGGGCAGTGCTATGGAAGATGGAAAATGTAAGTAAAAGGTAGAGAAATATTAGCTAGGCAATACTGAACAGAGAGGAAGTCTACTGTGATGGAAGAAGGGAAGGTATCAAGATTAATTAATAGTAATAAAAAGCACAAAGCCAGTAAACTCAGGTTGTTGTATACAGGTCACCAAATCCTTCTGAAGAGTGGGCTCAAAGGAGGAGGGAGGTTTGCATAGCTCTTGGAAAAAGTGGGAAACCGTCTGGGCTAGCAGTGTCAGGCTGAACAAGCTCAAATAAGTGCAAAGTCAGTTAAGGTAAAAGAAGGAGTTGGTGTCACAGCAAAAGAGAATAGGAGAAATGTCAAGAAATTAAAAATAGTCTCTTTTTCATAAGAAGATAAAGAATCAAAGAGTTATGTAAAATAGGTAAGGGAATGAAAAGAAAAATAGAAGAATATGAAAGTTTGTCTAAGTGTAATGGTGTCTTAGAAATAAGTAGACATGTACCAAGTGCAAGCAAAGAAGAACAGTCCCCTGCCAAACATACAAACAAAAGACATCGAAAAAGAAGACAGCCCAGCCTAACTGAATGAGACGTCCTTCAGGGAGGAAGGAGGAGCTTATGCATTCAGAACAGGACACATCCCCCATGCTGGCAGGACCCCCGTCCTCTCTCAGCAAGGTTGAGTGGGAACCCCTGAATGGGCACACTCTGGACAAGAGCTCACATTCCTGCTTCCCTAAACACTTGCAGCTGCTGCGTCACTCTGTACCTGGGACGAATCTCACTAGGCCCTTTAGCCTTGTGCATGTAGCCACCGCATCATCCCTCATTCCCCACCTCTAATCCCCATTCAGCTTGTGCACTACCTTTCAACCCCATCTTCCATAGCTCCTCATCGCCTGAAACCTTTCCACCGTGCTCTCTGGAGCTCAAAGCTATTCATCAGCAGAACATTCTGCACCCTGACCCTCTTTCCAAAATGTTTTCTTCATCCTCGTGTTCTAAGGATACTTCTTTCTTTGCAATCCTCTTCAGAGGTGGTTGCTTGCTCTCTCACAGCCCTTGTACCACTGGGCCTGGGGGGGAGTTAGATGTTCTCCTTGTTCCCCGTCGCTAATCCCAGATGCCCTCTCTTTCAGACTCAGTATCCACAATCCACAATCCCTCTGCCTGCAGGCATCTCTGCCACCTTCCCCCATGCTTTGAGGAGTTTAGCTCCTGGATCATCCTCGCCGACATTCCTAGAGATTTCCATACCCACATGGATGATTATTCCAGGAACCTGGACTCTAGGTTCCGTGATATTCTCTTCTCCCATGAACTGGCCATCCATCCTAAGCGAGTCTCTTCCATGGTCATATTTTAGGTCTTGTCATAACAATCACCTCAATCCCATCACAAGTTCAGTTTCAAATATCCCGTGCTCTGAACACACCTCTTTCCTAGGCCAGGGTCCCTGGAACATGGAGTCAGCCTGAAGCAAAGCAAATGTGCTGATGCTTTACTGAGAAAGAAGCAAGAATGAGGGAAAGGAGCAGTCAGTCAGGGAAGTCGGGAGAGCAACCACAAAGTGTGCTGTAGAGCTGGCAACATCTTCCAAGAATATCCAAATGCGTGGCTCACAGGGCTCCTCCAGGGAGGCCAGAGGACCATGGCGTCTAAACACAATCCAGCAGGGGCACGCAGAGGTCATTCAACTCCTCCTCAGGCCTTCTGGCATTCTTCTCCTTGGTCAAAAGCATCCCCATGGAGCTTTAATTCCCTATGATTTGCAGGTTGTATATTGACCACTCTGGGAAGTCACAGGGGAAGCCAGAGCCTCCATGGACCCAGTCAGGTTAGACGTGGTGTCAGAGCTGCCACAGCTCCTATGGCAGTGGCTATGACAGAAGCTGTGCTGAAGCCTTGTCCAACCCTGAGGATCCACTGAGGCAACCAGAGCCACAGCCATGACCACTGGAATGACATGAGCCATCCCCAGGGCCAGTTCAGCCAGAAAATAGGGCAAGAGGCTCAGGCCCTGGGGAAGAGGAGCAGAAAAGTCAGTCTCAACACGTCTGGGATGCAAAGAAACTGGATCTTGCACATCCATCCATTGCACCACATAGATCTGCTTAGATCCATTCATTTCTGAATCTTGCATGAGAAAAAAAATGATGCTCTCACTTTTCCTCAAGAAGAGAATTTAAAACCCTGTTCTTCAAGCTGACGGCCAGTTCCAGTCTCCTAAAAAAGGAGTTAGAAAACCAAGTTAAGTGTGGCAAGATGGCTTCCTTTGTCTTTGCTGGTGCAGTGAGAGCAGCTTCAGGAATCCTACGGCCCCTGAATATTTTGGCATCTTCAACCTATCACAACTGTGTCAAGAATGCCTCTCTTATTTCTGCATTGTCCACTGGACGCTTTAGTCATATTCAGACACCAGTTGTTTCTTCCACTCCCAGACTTACCACATCTGAGAGGAACCTGACATGTGGGCATACTTCAGAGATCCTTAATAGATTGGCCCCCGTGCTTCCAAGTGTCCTGAAGTTACCAGTCAGATCTCTAACATACTTCAGTACAAGAAAAGGCAAGAGAAAGACTGTGAAAGCTGTCATCTATAGGTTTCTTCGACTTCATTGTGGCCTATGGGTGAGGAAAAAGGCTGGCTATAAGAAAAAATTATGGAAAAAGACACCTGCAAGAAAAAAGCGATTGAGGGAATTTGTGTTCTGCAATAAAACCCAGAGTAAACTCTTAGATAAGATGACGACGTCCTTCTGGAAGAGGCGAAACTGGTATGTCGATGATCCTTATCAGAAGTATCATGATCGAACAAACCTGAAAGTATAGATTAGAAGTTTCACTTGTTTCTCAGTTATTGGATATGTACCTTTGTGTACATGATATCTTTGCAAAAATGGATAAGTACAAAACTTGATGTAAATTGTACCAATGAATATGTAAACATACAGTGACAACATTAAACTTATAAAAGTGTAAAACTTAAAAAAAAAAAAAAAAAGAAAACCAAGTTAAATCCCGTTACTACAGTTGGTCATAATTGACATCCAGGGCCATAACCGATATTCTCATCTCGCACCTCCACCAACCATTCCAGGTTTCCCTCACCCTCAGTCAGCACTTTGGCTGGTCTGGGTCACTGGCCTGGTCAAGTGACCTAAACCTTTAGCCCTCTTGCCTTGCTTTTGTAAGGCCATGGTTGCTGCAATTAACCACTCACAGTTCTCACTGGGCAGAGAAGCACCAAGAAATGGCCCACCGAATCCCCCAAGTTCCAGACATGCTTGCATGCTTGCTTGCTTGCTTGCTTCCTTCCTTCCTTCCTTCTCTTCCTTCCCCACTCTCTTTCTTTCTTCTCTTCCTTGCTTCCCTCCTTCCCTCCCTCCCTTCCTTCCCTTCCCTCTCCCTTCTTTCCTTCCTTCTTTTTCTTTTCCTTTCCTTTCTTCTCTTTCTTTCCCATCTTCCTTCTTTCCTTCCTGTCTTTCTTTCTTTTCTTCCCTCTCTCTCTCCCTCTTCCTCCATCCCTCCCTCCTCCCTCCCTTCTTTCCTTCCCTCTTTCTTTCTTTCTCTTTCTTTCTTTCTTTATTTCTTTCTTTCCTTCATTCTTTCTTTCTCCTTTTTTCTTTCTTTCTCTTTCTCCTTTCTTTCTGTCCCTCCTTCCTTCCTTCCTTCCTCTCTCACTCGTTCTTTCTTTCCTTCCTTCCCTCTCTCTCTCCCTTCCCTCCCTTCTTTCCCTCCTTCCTCTCCTTCCTTCCTTCCTCCCCTCTCTCTCCCCTTCTTTCTTTCTCTTTCTGTTTCCTTCCTTCTTTCCTTCCCTCCCTCCCTCCTTCCTCTATCTCTATGTCTTTCTTAGATGGGGTCTCACTCTATTGCCCAGGCTGGAGTGCAGTGATATGATCATAGTTCACTGTGACCTCAAACTCATAGAGTCAAGTGATCCTCTGGCCTCAGCCTGCTGAGTAGCCAGGACTACAGGTCTGCACCAGCACGCCTGGCTAATTTTTAAAAAATTTTTATAGAGACGGGGTCCCACTGTGTTTCCCAGGCCGGGAGGTCTTTCTTTCTCCATTATGAAATGGCAACTCTTGCTATTCATGTGACTCAGGGTCAACTACCCCTGCCAGCACAGAAATGCCATTCTTTGTCTGCTGATCCTCTGGCATGAGGAGCCCAAAGTGGCCAAACATGACCCCAGCTTCCAGTTCCCAGGTGGAAGCACACATGAATAGGTCTTCTCAGGGCCTAAGGCTACAGGAAACATGAATTCCACAGTGGGTCATTGAGAGAAATGGTGGTCAGGGGCAATGCTTCTGTCACCTTGTAGTCACACAGGCCTGTGTATTCTAGCTATTAAGGCAGACAAAAAACCATCCTAGGCCGGGCGTGGTGGCTCACATCTGTAATCCCAACACTTTGGGAGGCCAAGGCGAGTGGATCACCTAAGGTCAGGAGTTCAAGACCAACATGGCCAACATTGGGAAACCCCACCTGTACTGAAAATACAAAAATTAGCTGGGCGTGGTGGCAGACACCTGTAATCCCAGCTACTAGGGAGGCTGAGGGAGGAGAATCACTTAATTCTGGGAGGTGGAGTTGCAGTGAGCCATTGCACTCCAGCCTGGGAAACGAGAATGAAACTCTATCTTAAAAAAAAAAAAAAAAAAATCCCATTCAGCACCGCAAGAGTAATACATTCCTGAGAAAATTGCAGTGCTTAAAAGATGCAAGGTAGTTATTCTTTCCACAATCCTATTTAATTTGTCCTTTTGGCAGATGCAGAATCTTGATGGATCCTGGAACATGACTATGGATGATTATAAATGTAATCACGTAGGGAATCCAATTAGAGTGGCAACTTGGATGTGGCATCTTTAACAGAGCAAATCAATATAGCCTCTGGCATCTGGAAAGTGTTTTCTTTTCCATTCAAAAGCAAACTGCCTTTGTGTGGCATGACACCTGTATCCCATCACTGTTTTTCCTCAGGACTATGTCAACCTTCTTTACTTTGGTATAGTATAGCCAAAAAGGGCCTTGATTACCTTGATAATCCACAGAACATCATGCTGCTCCACTACGTTGATGACATTATGCTAACTGGACCTGGTGAGAAAGAAGTATCAAGCATCCCACACACTTTAGTAGAACACATGTGTTTCAGAAGCTGGCCAATAAACCCTGTGAAAATTCAGGGACCTGACACACAGGGAAGTTTCTAGGGGTCCAAGTCCTGTGGCATGTTGACAATAGCTTTAAAATGACAGACAGGTTGCTTCACCTTACTATAAATAAAGAGGCACAACGCTTGGTAGGCCTGTTTGGATTTTGGAGGCAACATATTCTACATTTGAACTTGTTGCTCCAATCCATTCACCAAGAAATCTATAAGGTTTAGAGTTTTGTTTTTTTTTTTTTTTTTTTAAGACAGAGTCTTCCTAACTCCATCACCCAGGCTGGAGTGCAGTGCAGTGGCATAATCTCAGCTCACTGCAACTTCTGCCTCCCAGGTTGAAGCGATTCTTGTGCCTCAGCCTCCTGAGTAGCTGGGATTACAGGTGTGTGCCACCATGCCCGGGAAATTTTTGTATTTTTAGTAGAGATGGGTTTTCGCCATATTGGCCAGGCTGGTTTCGAACTCCTGACCTCAAGAGATCCCCCTGCCTTGACTTCTCAAAGTGCTGGGATTACAGGCATGAGCCACCATGTCCATCCAGATTTACAGTCTTGTGTAGGACCCAGAGCAAGAAAAATATCTGCAGCAGGTCTAAGTTATTCAAGCTGCCCTGCCACTTGGGTCTTGAGACTCAGCAAACCCCATAGTGTGGGAGGTATCTGTAGAAGAAAGAGAAATTGTATGGGCAATTGTATTTGCCAAGCCCCAAAAGGAGAATCACAGCACAGATTCTTTGAGGTTTGGAGTAAAAGCATGCCCTTTTCTGCCAGCTATTCTCCATTTGAAAAGCAAACCTTAATTACCACTGGGTTCTGGTAGTTTAAATATCAAAAAAAAAAAAAAAAGAAACATTAAATGAGGATGCAAACAGATACCTGCCTGAGGTGGGAATAGTCAGCACAAGATGAGTTTGCAGTCACAAAGAACTGTCAATCACAGTAATAGCCAAAGTCAGAGGGAAGCTAAGGAGATGTGACACAGGGCACCAGACTCTGGTCACTTCTTGTGCCACTGAGATTCCTTTGTATCCCATATTCATTCTGTTAAATCCACCCTGTTAAAGATGTTAGTCAGCTGCAGCCTTTAGAAAAGATTCAGTATTGAGCTTCAAGTTGGAGTAAATGAAAAAGAAAAAGATTTAATGTATAGGGATTACTGAGACAAGCTACAATCCCACTGGTTACCCAAAATGGTAACAGACATTATCTTTCTTCTCTACCATGCCCTCCCCTCCACCCCAACTCTAGCATTCCATCTTGTCTAGTTTGCCTGCCTGGCAGGAGGACTTAGATTTTCATCTCTCAGGAGTCTAAACACTTGGTTGTCTTGCCTTTGTCAGGTGGTGGTTGCTGCAGTTGCTTACTCACAGTTATTACTAGGCTTGGAATTACTGAGAGACACAATAGAATTCCAGCATTTTTTTCACTGTCCTCATTGTTGGCAGCTACTCTAGGTCATTATGATAATTAGGGTCAACCACTGCTGTCAGTGTAACTTTTAGTGCCTGCTGGTCCACAGGCAGAAGGAGCTCAAAGTGAGTGGATCACAGTTAGATTCAAATTGAGTGGAAGTTTTATTGTGCCCCCTAGTGGAAAAGTCCTCCTCCCAGGGAACCAGAACCTTAAATCCAGCAGCCCAAGGTTGAGGGGATGAACAAATATTTGGGGGTTGGTTACTAGGATTGATGGTGAGAAGGGCCAATCTTTCATCTTTATATGTTGGCTGTTGGTTTAGTAAGTACACTTCATGCTGGAGGACAGACTCCACCCCCAAAATACTGTCTTCAAGTTGGCACTTTAGATGAGCCTTTAATAGGCCATCTCACCATTCTGTTTGCCAGCTGCTTTCAAGTATACAATATATGGTAGAATCAGGGGCTATTGCGATTATTCTTATGCACCTCCTTGGCTGTAAAATGGATCCTTCGGTCTGAGGCAGCATCTTCTGGGATCCCATGTGGTTGATCAGGCATTCTCCAGTTCCAAGCCTTTGGGATAGTGGTGCTGGGAAAGGCACTGAAGGCAGGAAAGGCAAACATTTCAAGAGCAGGTGTCAGTTTCAGTAAGAGAGAATCACATCCCCCTCCATTAGAAGTGGTCCTTTCACTTCACTTTGTATCTGCTTCCAAATATCCAGCCACATGATTCTTCCCCTACATCAGTTTGTCTCTAATTCTCCAATCTTGACCTTTCCAGAATCCTGAGCAACCAGCTAAATCATTTTCCACTCCCCAGGAGTTTATGTATATTCTTATCTCAAACTACTTTCCCTCCATTCAAAGTAACAACCAAGTGTGCTATTCACTACGCTTGCTTTTAGGGTCCCACTTAGTGAAGCATTAGTGTGGCAGCTGTCCAGCTTTGGTTACAAAAGCATATTGAGTGCCCCCCATCCATAACCATCCCAATTTTTTTTTCTCCTTTGTCAACTGGTTGTAAGGAAAACCTCCATGAGATTGCATGAGTGAATTAAGGAAGAGGTGTGAATGCAACAAAGGTGGGTGATGTAGACTGGGCCACTCCTTCATGTAACTTACTTGTAACTTAGAATCTGCTCTGGGTTGATCCCAAATATACCATTTACCCACTAAGTGGCAAGGCAGCTTCCACTGTAGCCCAGATTTGCTGTAAGGCCCTATATTTCTCTGAGCTCCACTTGAAACTAGCATCCTTCCAAGTCACTTGATAAATAGGTCAGAACAGTGTTCTTAAGTGTAATGTATATTGCTCCCCAAATCCAAAGAGGCCCCCCTCCCCACAAAACACCACCTCTTCTCTAATGATATGGGTTTACAGGATGCAATAACTTGCCATTTGTTTTAGAAGAAT